GTAATTCATTTGTAGCATTCATGTGTTCCTTATCTGAAATATTTGGACACGGCCCAACTGTGAATAAGCACTTTCTATCATAATAGTATTCAAATACATATATAATCAATTCACTGATCATACTGAGAACTGAGTTGATAAATGATGCTGTACTAAATCATTTTGGAAAAATATATGACACTGTATAATATAATAGTTAAATGCTATATATTTGACATGATTTTAACTTTATTATATTCTCTATGTTTCCTATTACTATGATTTTATTCTCATCTATAATTTCTCTCATTGTCAGCACAAATATTTGTGTTTTGGAAAAAAAATATTTCAATAATGGATATTTTATTGTTGTGCCAATTTTTTCCGTGTTATGACATTCTTTTCAAATTTGTCATGAAGTGATATTTCTCTGAAATTATCTTTATGTTATAGTTTGTATGCATGAATGTTTCTTCAGAAACAAAACTACAGTTCTTTGGTTGGTGAAATATTCATTGTTTCTGTGTTTCTTAAAATGTATAAGCTTCCATATGCTCTGAAACCATAAAAACCTGAAACTTTTTTATTCCTTTACAATTCTCAGTTTAGATTATTTAAGAAATGGATAGTTTATGCAATAAAAGATGTAATAAATATGTATAATTTTAATTTATGGAGGAGAAATTAGAATTTATTAGAGTTATTCTTGATAATATTTTTGGTATGGTCATGCAAGTAATTTATTCTCTTGCATTGTAAAACTTTATGATGACTAACCTTCTTAAGATCACTCTTTCATTTTGTCCTTTAATTAGAAAATGGCAGGATGAATTCAAGGCTCGGTAGCTTTACTGCTCAGTGTGAGTAAACTACTTGCATGAGCTGCATATTCTTCACTGTAATTGCCCCCTCATCAATTAAAACTATTTCACACCTTTCTATCATAGTAGATTCTGTATTCCTTTTCTAATATTTAAATTGCCAAATACATTAGTTAATACATACTGTATTTCTTCATTCCTACGGATGAAAATGTTTTCAGGGCAATACAGATTCTCCAGTTTTCTATAAAGAACTGCCAACTTTAACTCTGGGTTAAGACTGACTTGGAAAATCTTCTCCAATAAATGTATATGTGTATGCCTATCCAGATCTACCATCATACCCCTGAGTAATGGCAAAGCAAAAACCAAAACCCAAAATTTAAAAATAAGTAAATAAATTAATACATGTAATTAAAATTCATTGCTAATAAAATAAGGTGAGCCCTTTATAAATGTGAATTGATCTATATATAGCAAGCATTATTTCTCCCATATACACATAGACATACCATGTTTCCCCGAAAATAAGACAGGGTCTTATTTTCCTTTGACCCCCCGAAATATGGCCTTCAATATCACCCAGCCTTCAATGTCCGGGCTGAGCGAACTGAATCCAAGAGATGGGGGGAGGCTTCACTCTGTTGTTGGGTTCGACGCTGAGATGGGTGGGCAGCGCTTTAAGGCCACTTGTGCAGCTGAAGCAAGAAATGCCTCATCCCACACCCTCCCCTCCTGGTTAAAGAATGAAGTTGGGGTGGGAGAGAAAAGTGAGGGAGAAAAAATAGTTGCCTCCCAAATCTCCAAAGAATGTGGAGTTGAGATCTGGCTAAATGGTCAGTGCGCCATTACCAAATAAAAGCGGATGGCAGGATATTCACTCCTGTTGCTTCTCTCCCTGTCTGTCTCTCTCCTGTCCTCTCTGCCATGTCTTACCTGAGTTCCAGCTCCTGCCATGCTGGGCAAGGGGATAGCAAGGGAAGTCCCATCTCCATGTATCTCGCTTCACCGCCACCCCACCCCACCCTTCCCCACCTGCCACATCCCCTCACCGGCCAAGATCGATAAGCCAGATTTGGGAAGCTGAATGGGCTGCCGCCACCCGGGAGGAGAAGAACTTGGCTCTCTCGCAGCGCCTTCTCTCCTCTTCTTCTCCCGAGGGGCAGTGGTGCATCTAAGAGAAGGGATGCGGGAGCTAGGGTTTGTGGGAGCAGCCGCCTCCATGAGGCTGTTCCACATGGATGGCAGGGATGCATGGGGCATGTTCCACCTCCCTTTCCCCCCTCTCTGGTCTCGCCTCTTCACATCGTGTTGTTTGCGCAGCAGCTGCACATGCGTCTAAGTATTTTGGGGGGCTTATTTTAGGGGGGGCTTATTTTAGCGCATGCACTGAAAAGCCCAATTGGGCTAATTATTGGGACATGTCTTAGTTTCAGGAAAACCCGGTAAATGCACTGTTTATACAAGTACAGGCTTCCCATACTGTTTCTAAAGTAGATTCAACAAAAAAGAGAAGGAAGAAACAAAAAACAGGCCGGGAAGGAAAAATGAGGGTGAGAAAAACCTTGGGATGGATTCAAGGGAAAAGAAGGAGTCACCTGAAAGGCAGGGATAGGAAAGAGTGTAATTTAGGAATTACAAAAATTAAATTTAATGGACTTCTGGTTTGATGTCGGGAAAATAGCGGGCTCCATGGAGTCCCGTGAAAAATCTGACTGCCAAACCGCTGCCAATGGGTCTTCGGACCAGAACCGTCCTGCAGGGATGGGATAGGAAGAGAGGCACCTCGGACAACCAAGAGGAACAGGCAAGTTCCTCGGAGGTCGGAGGGAACTCTCTGTGAGTCAGCGGTGGGGGGCAGCAGCCATGGCGGCTGCCACGAAGCTGGGACAAACCAAACTAAGAGATGAGCAGGAGGAGAGAGTGAAAGAATGAAGCTCTTTGAAGCTGGGTGAGTGACACCAACGTAGGCTTGTAACAATGGAAGAGCAATGATTGGTACTTGTAAAACCCCCAGCCTTAAAACAGTGGCTGTGGATTAGAGGGGCATTGAAGATTTTGAAAAATAACTCCAGGAGGGAAAAACCCGCTAGGAAATTTATTTTGGGATAGATTCAATTGGAACAATTAAACATTAAGGCATGTTGAAAAGACTGGAAAATATTTTAAACTAGAATTGGACTTTGAAAAAGAAAAAAGAAAAAGGTACGGATTCAACATAATAAATAATAATAGCCATGGGACTTTGGTGCTGGAGGCTTTTTCTTTGTCTACAGACGGCTTTGCCCGTGGAAAGAAAGAGGAAATACAACGGAACTTTTATAATTGTTACTAATTGGCGCAGGAACAAAAGAAAGAAAGTTAGTGTACTTTTTATTGAATAAGAAGTAACAAAAAGAATTAAAATGACACATAGAGAATTAAATTTGAGAATAATTTGAAATGGAACATATATTGACAGACAAGGAAATGAAGAAATAAAATATACATGGTTGGGAAAAAAGAATATAAAACAGTTTGTTTAAAAATGAAAATGTAATGTTTACATGAATATTAATTATAAAAAGGAGTTGTTTATAGACATATAAGGATGGAAAATATGACAATGAGATTAAAATAGAAAAATTAAGTAAAGATTGATAGTATTGATAATATGAATATGAGAAGAATCCAAGAAATTTTATTGATTTATATGAGGATGTGTTTGATATAAGAATTAAGTCTCAATGTTAAGTTGCAGATAAAGCTGAGAATGATAATATGATTAAATATGAATAACTAATGTATACATGAAAGATAAAATATATAGGGGATTACACAGAGATAAACAGTAAAATTAAGAATATGCTTAATAAATATGCTGGAAACAGCCAAAATAATGGATGGAGATGTTTGTTTGTTTTTTTTTCTCCCCCCCCCCTTTGGGTGTGATAGTAAAATAGAGAGAATATGCTGGGAAACAGCCAAATAATATGAATATGCTGGGAATCAGCCAAAAGAAGATGATTAAGAGACAAGTAGTTAAAATAAATATGATTTAAACTGGAATTGATGGTAATAATAATATCTTTATGCTGGGATTAGTATTAAATGATAAGACTGTAAAAATGAAATGACTGTGTAAAATGAAGAATGTAATGTGCAATAAATTTAAGAAATATAGGTGTAAACCAAAGAGATTAGGATTTAAAGATTTAATGTAACGGATCCTAGATGTGGGTATATAGATAGAATTCAGGGTAATAAATGTAATTAAATATTGAGTTGTGTTATTTGGAAATTAAGATTTGTGGTGATATAATAGAAAGGTAATTGTTTAGATTAAGATATTATAATTGGGGAAAAAATTTTGTTTTGGTTTTTATTTTAAAAAGATGTTATGGTGGAGATTTGGGAAAGAGCTTGATAAAGAGGGAGAAGCGATTGTACCTATACATGACCGGATCAAAGCTTTGTTCTTAAAAGATGTATTTTATGTTTATGTTTCAAAAATTAAATTTAAAAAAATTCAAAAAAAATTTAAATTCAATAAAACAATCAGCAAGGTTAAAAACCCTGTTCTTCCAAAGTTAGCTCATGTTATCTAATCTTATAGCCAACACACCTATTGTAATGTCAGCAGCCGTTTTCTCCTTTTAATTATCTTCTAGAGGCATACCTCTATCCCTACTTCCCCAAGTAATTATGTCAGGGAAAATGAAACATGATCACATCTGATAAATACCGTAATAACTAAGAATCATAAAAAGTTAATAATACCCTTAATGGAAATGGCTCATGCTTATACTGGCTTCATGATGTAAAGTTCAAATAAAAACAGATTCATCCCTTCATAGGATAGTACTATTGTTCATAACTCAATACATGCCTTTTAATCATTTAAAGTTTGTAATGGAATAGTCTGAAATTCAGGTGCTGCCCAATAGAAGGGCAAAATCTGATAAAAACTGATAAATATAGTTCTTTGCCAAGAAGATATGTGAATGGGTTTCCATATATACACATTAGATAAGGGTTATCAAACTCGCATCATCACAGCATCGTCACGTGACGTATCGGGACTTTTTTCCCCTTTACTAAACCGGATGTGGGTGTGGCCGCGAGTTTGATAGCCCTGCATTAGATTATGTGTTCAGGCATGCATGTGACTGAAAGAATGCTTAAAATGTAATTTAATTATATCCATCTTTTTTCATTTAGGATGATTATTTCAGAAACTGGAATCCAAACAAGCCTTTTGATCAAGGTAAAAGAAATATTGGACTGAAATTGTTTTATGTTGTGTACATCAAGCTATTTTTTCCTGTCTGAGAAACACTTAGCATATCACTTTTTTAAAATCTTTTAATTTAGACATTTTAGACATTTTTTCATATAATAAGAGTCACCTGTTCTTAACATTTTTAAATTTCATCACCAACATGCATTTTAATTAGGATCCTGTTTTGAAATATAACATTGAGTTAATTATTCAGGACCTGGAAATGGTCTTCTTGAAATAAAAAATATATATGATTTGACTTTTTAACATTCAGCTTCAGTTTCTTGAAGAAAGAACAGATTTATATTAGAACATATTGGTATTATTTGCTAAGTTTAATGGGATAAAAATGTGCTGTATGGCTGCAGATGTCCAAACTTAGAACTGAAATAATTTACTCTAGCACTGACTAAATGTGATGGAATTAGGATTAGTCTTGATTTCTCCAAAGGTCAATAATGGCAGCAATGAAAGATAATGTTGATAAATGTGTTTTCATTTCACTGTGAGTTCAAGAATCTCCCAGGATTAATGGTACACCTCTCAGTGGACCTAAACAACAATCTGCTAGAAATGTTTGTGTCATATACAGTACACATAAAAGAGTGAGAGTTATATTGACAGTAAAATGCTGGAAACACTAATGAAAAATAAAACTTAGCTCTAGGAAATATTCTGGCAAAAAGAAGGTAAAATAGAAAAAGGTGCATAGGTTAACATGATAATACATATTCTATTGGCCTTACTAATTGTTCACCACAGTTACAACTTCGATTCAGAACTGGAATCGAAAACATAGGATCCATAATTATTACAGGAAAGCAATTTGACAAGTCCTGCAATATTGCTTTAACATAGTGCTCTCAGCTATAACTTTGTATAGTTTCTGGTAACAAATGGTATTTCCATAGAAACTATAGAAGCGTGTTCAAAACATTTTGAACTCATTTAAAAACTTGTTCTAGCTCTTTTGTTCATGCCAAATCTATTGCTAAAGGATTTTTTTTTTTTGCAAGTGAACATGTAGAGACCATTTATTACAGTAATGTAAATGCTGGTTATTATTGTTTCAATCAAGAAAGTGATTTGACAAATCTGATCCTGAAATTTTAAGGATGACGGGAGAAAAAAGAAATTGGATGCTGTACTTCTGTGAAAAGTTATGCAATTTATCTAAATACATCTGTCTTCCCAGAAGAAGCAACATATACTTGGACAGAATGATCAGCAGAATTCTTTCAAAATCATAGTAATTATAACCAGGCATGTTATCTGCTTTGTTGTAGTTGCGTACATGATCCTTCAGGTTTAATACTTTTTGCTTATTCATTAAAAAGTAGAGAGACTACATCAAATAGAAAACCTGCAGATTGTATAACTGATTTAAATTTATGGCCGCATCATACTGAAAGTTGTATTCTCTTCCACTGAAACATACAAATGTAGAAAACTGGTGTCAGAAAAAAAACCAGTGATCCATTGAGTCTGATCTTTGAGGGTTGTTTTTTGTTTCTTTTTGTTTTATTTTTAATTTATTTATTTATTTATTTATTTTTGTTATTAGAAAAATGCTAGGTTTGAGAGCCAGTATGATGGTGTAATTAAGGTTCTGGGCTAGAATGAGGAAGACCCTAAGTTGTAGCTTTCCATAGATATTGAAGCCAATTGGGAAGGAGTGGCATAGTCACTCCTTTTCAGCACAAATCAACCCCAGGCTCTAGAACAGTGATGGCTAACTTTTTTGCCATCGGGTGTCAGGAGAGGGGGGGGCGGGAGAGGTTCGCACGTGCGGGTGCCCACACCCATAATTCTATGCGCCCTGCCCTGCACATGTGTGTGCAACCCCCTCCCCTCCCGCTCCTGGCACGTGATGGCCAAGCCTCTCTAGGAGTCCCTGAAGGCTTGGGACAGCAAAAAACGTCACTTCCTGTCCCACCGGGAGTTGGAAAATGAGCTGTTTCAGGCCTTTGGAGAGCCTCCATGGGAGTGGGAAAGGCTGTTTTCATCCTCCGCAGATGCATAGAGATGATCTGGAGCCAGGTAAGAAAGAAAAATGGGCCTTCTCCATCCCCCGCCCCAGCCCCTCCGGAGGCAGGAAACAGCCTGTTTCACTACTCCTGGTGGGCCCAGAAGGCCCGAAAAATCAGCTGGCCAGTGTGTGCATGCGCACCAGAGCTGAGCTGGCGTGCCCACTGATATGGCTACGTGTGCCACCTGTGGCACGCGTGCCATAGGTTCGCTATCACGGCTCTAGAACAAACTGACTGAAAAACAAAAACCCATCATCTTATCATGCTTGGACGAGCTTCGGTGTAAGAACTTGGCAAGCACAATACAAAAATAAATGGACCCTATAACTAAGCAAGCCATACACTAAGAAAAAGAGTAAGATAAAAATGCTAGTCTCCTGTGTTCTCTGGAAAATGTTGTCTTTCTAGATTTAAACTAGGATTTCACACAGTCAGCAATATCAGATTCAGATTTTGTATTGGAATATAATTAAAATATATCTCTGTTCATATTGGAAGCTCAAGACAATTTTTTTGTGTACAATTTCAAGCCATCTTTTCAGTACTTCACAACCATTCCTATCCCCACAATTTATATGCTGGCTATAATTTGTAATTTGGCAGAGGAGATTTGGTATTTCTAATGTATATTTGTTAGTACATAATATCATGTTAAGGTGCACCATTAAATATTATTGTAATTAAGAATTTTCTGTTCAGTACTTAATCTCAAACTTTTCACCCTGAAAGAATATATTAACAGTTAATTCACTTCTTTATGTAACTGTGATTTTTTTTTTTAAGGGGAACTATTGACTCTAATTTTGTGTTAGCTGCTTATTTTTATTACTTGCATTTGGGGGGTTGCTAATGTTCTCGTGCTATTTGCATTCTAATGATGGCAATTCTCTTTCTCTGTTTTTCATGTTAGAATTGCCTTAATTTCAAGATGCTAATCACTCTGCTGTTATAATCAGTCCGCATTCCCTGTGTGTGTGTGGGTGCATGCCTGTAGGTATTCAGAAGCTACTCAACACATATATTGAATATATACTGGTATATAAAAAGTGACTTGTTTAAAATTATTGATTAGACTGTACATAAAAGGAACCTCATAAATTGGGCAGTTATCATTAGATAATTGACTTAGTCAGTATATTCATTTTGTAACTGGTGGGGTTTATTGATACAGTGCAACATGAAGTTATTTTTCTTTTCACTCTTACTGTTAGGAAATAAATTCAGCATGAAGCTCCCAACCTATCATTGTATGTTAGGGATTTACATGGAGTAAAGCTGCTCTAAAGAAGTCAATTGGGACTCAGTGTGTTCAATTTTCATTTAAATTTAGTCATTAAAATTAAACTGGAATTCGGTCATCAAAATCACACTGTCAAGTTGTATTAACTTTTGTATTTTACATAAAATAGTTTTAGATTCACGTACATATGTTAAGTTTATGTAAAAAATGAAAAGAAATTCTGTTCTTGATTTCCATTCTGTCTATTCATTTACCTAGTAGGTTCCCGTCAACAAGATTTATATGTGAGTTAATATATATTGGATTGGTCTACCACAAAAATAAAAAGTTTGTATGTCATCAAAGCACTGAAATTATAGAGATTACATCAAGAAATATATCCTCCATTTATTTACAGCACACAACACCAAAATATGGCTTACTGGTATATGTGAATCCAGTCAGAAACATTTGCTTTTCATTCCCAATCCATTTTTTTGCTGCATTCATCAAGGCTCTGATGAGAGAAAATGTTCTACATAATGCTGCTAATTGTATAAACCAGACACATTTTAGTTCTGGAAAATGTGTATAATGCTTTAGTGCTACCTTTGAGGATACAACAGGAACAACAGCACTGGCAATATGTAACTTAGGAGTCTTCTTCCTATACCTATACCTAAAAAAAAGTATAAGGGGTAGCTTTGGCATCAAATAGAATTAGTAAATTGTATGACCAATAATTACATTATTAAAATTACAATAATTTTACAGTGTTTTATTTTATTTCCTAGTGATCATTTTTTATCATTTAATTATAGGGGCAGTGTGGTAGCTCACAATTAAGACACTGGGCTTGTCAGCTATAAAACTGGCAGTCCAGGTTCAAGACCTGAGCACCATGCAATAAGACGAGCTTTCGTCGTCACCCCGGCTCCTGCCAACTAGCAGTTCGAAAGCATCCAAATGCGAGTAGATAAATAGAAATTACTTTGACAGGAAGGTAACAGTGACATCATATGACTGCAAAAATGTCTTCGGACAGCAGTGGCTCAATGGCCTTGAAATGGAAATGAGCACCAGCCCTGGTAGTTGGCAACGACTAGCGGAGTAAAATCTTCAGGGACTCCTTTACCTTTTATTATCTTAGCTTTCATGTTAGGTTTTTTTCCCCCCTGGAACATGTATGTCAAACTTATTTGCATCACATGATGTCACGTGATGTCACGTGATGTATCACGACATTTTTGGCCATTGCGGAACTGGGGTAGGCATGGCTTGCGTGTGATGCATCTAGCCTGCGGGCTGCCAGTTTGACATCCTTGCCCTAGACTTAAGGCTTTGAATAAACAAACAAGGACCGAGGCGAAAGAAAGAAGAATGAAAAGGTATCGTTATTCCTTTCTTAGCTTTGTAGGTTTACAATCGCATTTAGGAGGGAGAAGAAAGGAAAAGATTTGGAAGTTGATGAACCAAAACATTGTATGTATTTTGTTCCTGAACATGACATTTGTAGAATTGAACATGGCCTCGGTTTTAATTTTTGTACTTGTCTAAAGTAATTATCAATGGATTTTTCTGCTGTGAATAAAGATACTTTCTAATAATTTGGAATAGGGAACATAAGAAAAGCAATTTCCCTATGCTCCTTGTTTTGTTATATTTCTTCATTAAATCTGAAGTTTTTACATTTGCTCTGTAAGAATATGAATATTTTGTGTGACACAGGAAATATA